TCAGTTTGGGAAATTTTGAAAAAATGATTTCCTTGACAATCCCTTTCCTCCCCTTCTTTCTTCTCTCCCCCTGGAGCCCCATGATTCTCTGACTCCTCTTTCTGACCTGTTTTCTCTTAGCTCCCTTTTAATTGTTTTGCTCTACTTTATGGGACATATCCTCAACTTTCATTTCTGAGACCAATTTTTTCATCCCTCGCATTTTTTTTTTAAACCTTTTCACTTTTATATCTTGGGTTGATGATTTTCTTATCCATCTGAGGGGAGATTTGTTTTTGTTTTACATTTTCTTCTGTGTTTGTAAGGCTGTTTTTCCCAAGTTGCTTTCAGGGGAGTTACTTGTTTCCTTTTCTATGATCCACGTTTAGGATTTCTTTTCGTGATTATGAGTTGATTAGAAGCTCTGACTGTTCCAGAGGAACTTGTCAACCTTGGCTTTCCCCGTAGCATAATCTAGATGGCATCTTTGTAGGATAATCTTCCAAATCCTTATCTGTGCTTTTTTTTTTCTTCTCTCTCTTGAGATGTTCAGAATGTCCAGAGAAGAGTGCTTTGGTCTCTGCCAAGCGAGACAAAGTTCACAGGCCAGTGTTCCAGAGGGTGAATACAGGAAGAAGGCTGGAAGTAGGGTAGGCCTTGAGTCTTCCTCCCTCCTCCCAGATACTAAGCCAAACTTTCATGGATCATGGGATCCTGAATATCTCAAAAGTTTTTTTATGTTGCTTTTTAAAGCCATCAGATATACCTAAGTGTTCCATTTATTAGGTAGTTATTTCCAAAGAATTTAATAAGTATTTATGTCTGAACAAGTTAGGTACTGTTTGAAAAAATAAACAGGCATCTAAAGAAACAAATTATTATTTTGTTCTTAAATAACCACAATTAAGAAATCATTTTTTAAAAAACCACGAAAAAACAAAATAGATAAGCACATTTGTTGGTAGTGTACCTCTTCTGAGGACACAGCTGGCCTCATTTCATAGTTTACATAGATTTTCATGTGTTACCTGCATATCACACACTCATCAAAAACTCAGTTTCATAAAGACAGATGTCATAGAAAAGAATGTATAGTGATCCAAAGTTAAAATTTTGTACTATTTCAGGCCAGTCATTGTGTCCTGTCAGATGTCAGATTTGACATGTTTGCATCAAACATTTCAAATATACCTAAGTATGGAGAATCACAGGTTTTAGATGGCCGATGTTTGTTCTGTATGCTCTTGTCCAACCTACCATCCTCACTTAGAACTTGCATTAAGTTTTAAACTGTGCACAATCTGCTGAGATCTCAGAAAACACTCCACCACCGCCTTCCTACAACTCAGTGCCTTAGTGCATTTAATTAAGTATAATTTATGTCACAGTCTGAGTCACAGAATCAAAACACAAACTCCATTATATAAGATAGAGGATGAGTCGGAGATTCATGCTGAAAGTAGGAGGTACCTTCCTTTGATAATTCTCCAACCAGTAAGACACTTCTTTTGTGGTTTTAATTTTGCATGCCATCAGACAATGCTACAAAAGTAATTCAATACGGTTTGTGGCTCTTTCCAGACGGCTGAGTAAGAGCCTGAGTATTAACATCTGTCAAATGATTCTCCTTTCCCCTCACCCCCAGACCAGTCTTTGAAGGATTCAATCAATGTGAAGTCACAATGTCAAAGAAGAAGGCCAGGGCAGGTAATATGACAACGGATGTTGGTCTTAAGTAAGCTGACTAGCTATGAATTCACAAAACAGTCTGAAAGGATTCGTGATGCAAGCTGACTTCTGTCTAGACAGAGAGGGGAGTGTAAAACACATTAGACGATACAACACAGTAGTGACAAGAAAAACCTGTTTCACTTGTACAAATGCACGGGGAGAGAATCTGCTCTTTCCTTCTTTATCTAGATATCTAACCCCTAATGGGGCAACATCTAGGTTCGAGGGAATTTCAGTTTTATTTTTAGAGCTTTAAAATCATCTTGCCCATGAATAAGGAAAGAGAGTGAAGAGAAGAAGAAAAAAGGAGATAAAAAGAATGAGGGAGTGACATGGAGTAAGACAAGAAAAGAGGGAGGGAAGGAAGAAGGTGGGGGAGAGAGAAGAGAGAGCAGGAAAGAGAGGCTATGTCAGAGGAGGAAGAGAGGGTAATAAAATCTGATGTTTAAATAGTTTCCTGAATTTCAAAGGCTATTTATGTTTTAGCATTTGGAAAACATCACAGACCCAGTCCTATAAAATTTATCTCTGGCCTCAGATGTATTGTAGTCATGTCTGTTTTTCTCCTTTCCACTCAACAGTGGCTAAAAAAAGCAGCTATCAGACCAGTTCCTACATCCACACTATATGGTGGAATACATCAGTGGTCCATTAGACAAAATAATCAAGCAGGTCATTTAAGGAAAGTAAACAGTCTGTTCGTGTGTGTGTGTGTGTGTGTGTGTGTGTGTGTGTGTGTGTGTTTTCCTCTTGACATAGAAACTTCAAGGTCAATGTTAGGAAAACATTTGGCAATTAGTAAGAGAATCATTCTTAGCTTTGTTAGATGTGCCAAAACTTTGTTTAACCACAAATATGCTTTAATTTTTCCTTGTGCTAAAGTTCTTACTCCTATCAGTTCACATAAGCAGTCATAGGAGAAGTCATTCTTGTGTTTAATTTATTGGTTGTTGTTTAAAAAAATGTGACCATGAATTCTGTTTAATGCTCCATGCTCACTGGAGACTTTCTGAAGCAGGGCATATTAGTGCTTTGCTGTGAAAGAGAAGGGAGTCATTCTAGGACTGTCGCGGTGAAGACAATTGTGGAGAAATTACCACAGGTCAGGGAAAATGTGTTGTGTTCCGTTTGTTTTGTTTTTAATAGCTCCCAACTATCTTCTTTTTTTTTTCTTATATTGACAAATTTGCTTGAAATATTTCTCTGCCAAGAAACACTCACTTTTAGCAAATATTATTATAGTGGTTGGGATGGAGGAGTCTGTTTTCTTAAATGCTTTCAGATATAACTAAAGAAAAAAAAATAAAAAAATACAGCCAAGTGTCATGCATTGTGAGGATGTGGCGTTTAAAAGAAAGATCCTCCATATCTTGTACTTTTCTTCATGATTTTGCCATGTTAAAGGAAAAGGCATTTCAGTAAGTTCTAGAGGCCTGGTGATTTCAGGAGGCTGCTTAGGACTGATTTTATTAAATCATTTATGATCAATATTTTAGAAACAAAAGAGAAAACCATAACTGAAGCAAAAGGGGGTGTTTATAAGACTAGGGGTGAGGGATGTGGGTAGAAGGTAGTAGACATTTCCAAATCCAAACTGATTCCTCCTTAGTGTACTCTCAGGGTTTTGATGTTCAAGAATGCACATATGCCAAACTAAACTGTGCAATTTATATACAATGTTTTGCATTTTCAGATGTTGGTTAGCTGCTGATTTTCCAACGTAGATTATTGGAGACATTAAAAAAAATAATCATCACCTATTAGCTGGTGAGAGTGAACAACAATGTGAAGAAGACAGAATTGCATAAATTTGTTCAGAATACAAAAAGCAGCCTTAATCATTCCTAGAAGCAATAGTTCTAGAATTTGGGACCCAAGGTTTCGTTCCTATATGTGCATAAAGCATTAAAAGACATAATTATCTGTTATATATAATAAACTATTTCTTATAAATAAAAGCAATACCTGGTTCCTACTTTCCTGTCTACCTGTCTGTCATCTATCTATCTACTGCTATTTAAAACAGTAAATATAAAATATGTGCCCCAACTCTCTATAGGATTTCCATGTTAGCTCATGAAGTAAGTTTGGTCTCAGAAGTTCCATGCATACGGGAACTAGCATTATTCAATTTTATACAAAGACATATCGCAGAAAAAATAGAAAGTGGTATATTTCCAGTCTGGGAAATGACTACAGCATTTGATGTGGCAACTGACACACGGAGTGGGGTGACATGCTCTAGTTGTAACTCAGAAGGCAGCAGATCAATTCCAGTTGTTCTCAAAAAATGTGGAGAAGCATCCTTTAAACCTGGTCCCTAATAGAAACATGCTCTGCTTTTAAAGACCCCATACTCAGATGTGAGAGATCAGGGGCTGACCACAGCAACCTGACCTGCAGTAGCCCACAGAAAACCTTAAGTTCCCAAAGAAGGGTCTGGGCAAGGTCATGGTGCCCAAGGCACACATGGGGAATTCTGTTCCCCATAGGAGCAGAAGCACCCAGGGCAGAAACGGAAGCGACTTGCTTTTCTGCCCTTTGTTAAAAAAAAAAAAAATGAGTGAAACTGTGCTTTGCTGACCGGGAAAAATACAAAAGAATAGAGTCTAGAGGAGGATGCACTAGGAAATACCTGGACAAACATCTTTTAGTCCCGAGGGGTCATAAAAATGCAAGAGGCGGGAGGCTGGGGAGCAGCTGGCCCCAGGGCTTCTGGACCACATAGCACTCTGATGAGATCCAGTGAGGTCATTGAGAGAGAGCCTAGGGCAAGATGACTTTCTTGATGCTTGTAGAACAGTAAAAGTTTATGTATGGCTCAGGGTACAGAAATGAAAGCTGCCTGGAGGATCACTGGGCGGCTCCTATTCAAGACGCACTTCTAAGGCTGCAGTCTAGCTGATCCCTGGCTGCAGTCTAGCTGATCCCTGGCTGCAGTCTACCTGATCCCCAGTTTTGGGCAGTAGAAGTATGTGGGAGATTGCTCTTTCCTAATGGAATTTTAGGAGGTCTTTTAAAATCATTAGCTTGGTTTTCTTTCTGAGTATAAAAGCCCTAAGTCACTGAGCTTGACCTTCTTGTCTGAATGGCACCTAATGTTTTACTAATAAAGAAGTTGATGTAAAAGGCAGCATACAGAACCCTGATAAAGAAGATATTGTCTTTAAGGGGGTCTCACATTTCCAGGGAACTGCAAAAACATTGTTCTGCTTATGGCTTTAAAACAGAAACAAAGATCTATTGAAACCCACAAGATATATTAACCCTCCAAGAAAGCAAATGCTCACCAGGTTCAGCTGTCGATCTAGGTTCTGTTTTCCGCATGAGAAAAAAAAAAAAAAAGAACAGAATATTACAATAGGGTTCCTTAATAAAAAACCTACCTTTCTTTTCCTGTTATCTTGTCTACGGCATATCTGCAGAAATGTAATAGACAAGCTCCATAATACAAAAAGGAGGGTTAAAGGGATAGCAGGGTTACTGTATATTTCTACAAAAACAGAATACTCAAATTCCAGTAACATCAGGATGTTCTAAAAAATATAGATGGGCTATGTACATATAAACCTACATATTTGCCCAATTTTGAATTCAAATATATGTGGGCATTTTTCCTAAAGTAAGAATACATATCTTTCATCAGCTTCAATGGGGCCACAGCCTTAACCTAGTGGACCACACATATTGTAGATTATTTGGTCTCATCCCTCTTTAAAAATGGAAATCAATAGAATGACTCAGTCCTTGTTGGTTTTCCCTAAACCAGAGAGAATAAAATGGTCAGACTTGGAAGAATGAGTCTCTCTCTCCTTACTTTTCTGTAGAATTCTGAAATCTGGAGAGTCTTGGATTTCACTTCCCTGCCGGAACCACTGGACCTGGAGCGGGGGTGCTCCCCGGACCCTGCACTCCAGGACCACCACCTGGCCCTCTGAGGCTGCTGTGTTTTGCAGTTCCTGAAATTCAAGGAAAATACTGTCCTTAGACTTTAATGTGTTCTTTTTTAAAATGATTTTTTTTTTAGTTGTTGATAGACCTTTATTTCTTATTTATTTGTATGTAGGGCTGAGAATCAAACCCAGAGCCTCACACATGCTAGGCAAGGGCTTTGCCACTGAGCCACAACCCTACCTCTTAATGTGTTCATAAGCAATTTTAAAACAGAGAATAACAACTCCAAAATTCAGATAAAATGCAGAACAAACCTGCAGAACTTGCATCATCAAATAATTACCATTAACCCAGGGACGCCTTTAAGTCCATGATAATTAGCTTTTTGTAACCTCTATGACAAAAAATTAGTACGGTTTACCATAAGCCCTGTAGCATTTTTTGACCTGTTTACAAACTTCACAGACCCTTTTGTATTTGTGGAATTGGATGGTAATTTTATATTTGTGATAATTTTCTTTCTATTTAGTTTGCAGTGCTATGGATCAAACAAACCCAGGGCCTCATGCATGCTAGGCAAGCACTCTCTACCACTGAGCCACATCCCCAGCCCTATGTTTATGGTAATTTGATGTTATTTTTCTTTATCTACATTTGAGAGTAAACTGGTAAACTTCTTAAAACAATCATACTCCAAATGAATATAGCTCCTTAAGAAAACCAGATGAGAAAAAAGACACATTTGTTTTCCTGTGCCCTGATCTCTCCTGTATACCTCATCTTCTGCAGGACTAGGTTCTTAAGTCAGGTTTACTAAGCCAAGTATTGTGGTATTTTCTCATTTTGAGATTCTGAGTAAATTCATAAAACATGCTCCTCTTCTTCCTTATTGACCTTCATTTCCTCCTCTGGGCCAGAGCCCTTATTGTTCCTCATCCCTCTGCAACTTTACACCAATCAATTTTTACAGTCCAACAGATTAGAAATTAATTTGACTTTACAGATACAAAGAGGTAAATTTCTGTACTTGTTATTAAATATCAAGATGTTACTAGTTCCCTTCCACATGTTCTTTCTCCATCTTCTTCCTCCAGGATTAACAACAATGGGACCTATTTAAACTTCCTGATGATTTAAACTTTTGACTAGAGAACTGGATCTAATACAGAGCATATAGAACTCCTAATTAAAACATGGTGAAATAACTTATCTCTGTATAAACAAAAGCAAACAAATTCACATTGGGAAGTATGTGGACATTTTGTGTTTTGTTTTTAAAACTGTTTAGGAACTGGGTGTGGTGGTGCACACCTGTAATCCCAGTGACTCAGGAGGCTGAGGCAGGTGGATTGCAAGTTTGAGGACAGCCCTAGCAATTTAGCAAGGCCCTAAGCAATTTATCGAGACGTTGTCTTAAAAAAATGATAATAAAAAAGTGCTGGGGATATTGCTTAGCAGTAATCCACCCCGGTTTTTAATCCTCAGTACCAAATAAATGAATAAATAAAAACTGTCCAAGGGAACAAGAGATCATCGCAAACCACATAGCAAATGGGAAAACAAATACTATGGCAATTGGCCTACCTGAATGTGCAAAAATACTATGAGTTCTAAAAGTCCATGATGTTGACTGATGAATTATAAAAGTAATGGGAAATCTGATTTGATGTTTGATAAGAATTTTGGTAGTTAACAGGCATGTCTTTTTTTTTTAGTGAAAATTTTAAGGTGATCAACTATTGATAGCATTCCTTCTCCATTCTTATTTTTAAATGTAGAAAATTTCTGGTTTTAGATTAATGTTTTACTTTGTAATTGGGTCCACTGAAGAGCTAATTTAGTGGTTCACAGCATGGTGTCTCTCATGGGGTCCAGTTCCTATGGGATGACCTATTAAATGTTTCCAGTCTTGTCCAAGAAACCATTCATGGAGATTACAAATGGCATCCAAATACTTTTCATGCTTGAGCTTTCAGGCATGACTATTTAAACCTCAAGAACCAAAGGAGACTGATTTATTCCTAAGTTTATATATGTTTTTTTTTTTTTTTAAGTGTTGGAAGCTCAGAGATTTAAGAAATGGGCAGATGCCAAGGAACCAAAGCAGTCAAAACTCCATAGTTATTTTAGGATAACAAACTGGCTCCACCTAGTGTAAACTTTTTTTTTTTTTTTAATCTTGGCAAAAGCCATAGCTAAACACAGTAAACCATTAGGAGAACTTTAAGGACCATAAGGAGAAGCCCTCAAAAGACCGAGATTCAACCATCAGTGGTTGCACAGATAATCTAGATCATCCATTGAGTGCAGGATCTGGGAACCCCAAGGGACCCATATAAGGGCATCTGTTGTCATACATCAGGTTCACCTGACATTGTGACTCCTTGGAGGGGTCTAAGGGAAGAAAAGCCCCGTAGGAGTAGCTACCTCCTGGCTGCATGTGCATGCCTGTGCTAGTCACAGCTCAAAATCCATACCAACTCTGTTGCCAGAGCCAAGCCCCAACTTCACCAGGCAGGCAGGCAGGCAGAAGCACCAACTCTGCCCCTGCCAAGCTGTGACACCTGTCAATCTTTTCCAGAGGAGGGTGAAGATATAGATGGAGGCTCCTCTTAGACTGGCAATGTTCACCTACCATCCACTGTCACCATTGTGTCAAGACAATGGTCAAAGAAGGTGCGAAGGGTGGCTAAGCCAAGGTTAGTTTGAGTCATGGAGGGGATCAGCAAAATGATTTTCTAAATCTGTCCCTCTAAAACCAGAGCCAAGGCCCCCAAAGGATGCTGCAAAATAGAGAGAAGTTTCCCAAAGGATGAAAGAGAAAAGCAGCGGCAAATGTGAGTGAAGCATCCCTGCAGAAAACAGGTGTACCATGGTCCAGGCCCAGAACATGGGAGGCTAGGGCTGCCCATTGAAGTGTGTGCTGTGCCTCTAGTGACCTCCATAGTTCGAGACTTTTTTTTTTTTTTTTTTTTTAAGCCAAGAGGTGTGTTGGGCCCTGGTGTCCTGAAACCAGTAGTGCCTTGGTTACCAATGTAGGTGGTGACACACTTGCTGGGGATGATTCCAAAATGGCATACTCCATACTTAATGCAGAATCTACTCCTCTTCTGTAAATGCTTCCTGTTCTAAGCATCAAAGTAAAACTGCACTGGCTGTCATAATTTTGGTAGGGTTTTGCATGCCTTTTGTTTTTGAGAGCCTGTCTCAGAGGGCAGGTTCAAAGCTGTTGTCAACTGTTGTCCTCAGTTGCCTATGTCTCACTGGAACACTATAGTTGCTTATGAACAGACCTTTAATAAAGCCTGACTTCTATCTGGCTTAGAAACAAATCGTTCCCTTCATGAAGACAAATACAGGTGCTTTCTGTTACTGCCTTACAAAAATCTTATAGATTTGCTTTCATGTTTGTCCTTAGGTCACTTGGAAATTATTTCCTCAGAAAGTGTGATGTAGGAATCCAATCTAACATTTTTTTTTTTTTACTCGTGAAGAATTCATTCTTCCTTCAGCAATTAGCAAGTTTTTGTAGGTACTGAAGTACCTTTTGGGTTTCCACTCTGATTACTCATCAATTTTTCATCCCTGTATCAGGGCCATACTATAGGTTGAGTATCCTTTATCCAAACTACTTAAGATCATGAGTGTTTCAGATTTTAGACTTTTTTCTGATTAAGGAAAATCTGCATATATATCATGATATCATGGGGATGGGAACAAGCCAAACAAATTTTATTTATTCTTCATAAATACCTTATATGCATAACCTGAAGGTAAATTCAATACAACAGTTTTACAAAATCCAAAAAGTTGTGGATTTTGGAGCACTTTGGATAGGGATGCTCAGCCTATATACCTATATCATAATTATCCTATCTTTAGACAATCTTGACATTTCTTCAGACAAATCCCATCCCTTCTGTAACACCACACTATTTTTCTTTTCCAGGAGTTGCCTAACTATTCCTAGACATTTTTTTCTTCCTTACAACTTTTAGAATGAGATTGCCAAATTCTGTATCAAACAAATAAACAGAAACAAAGAACCTGTTGAAATTTTAGCAAGATTTGCATTAAATATAGATTGGCCAGGGAGTAATGACTTCTTCATAGACTTTCAGTTCCTAAGAAACACGTTATCTCTTCATTTATTAGGTCTTTTAAAACATCTTTCAATAAAATTTTTAAATTTTTCTAGAGGAGGAGGAAGAGGAAGAGGAAGAGGAGGAGGAGGAGGAGGAGGAAGAGGAGGAGGAAGAGGAAGAAGCCAGGTGTGGTAACACATGCCTGTAATCCCAGCAGCTCAGAGGCTAAGGCAGGAGGATTGAAGTTCAAGGCCAGCCTCAGCAACTTAGTCAGGCCCTGTCTCCAAATAAAAATTAAAAGGGCTGAGGATGTGGCTCAGTGGCTAAGCACCCCTTGCTTCAAAATCCCTGGTGTACACACATACACATACACACACACACACACACACACACACACACACGAAGGAGGAGAAGAAAAGTAAAGAGATGGAACAATTTCTGACTTGAGTAGTCATCTAATGAAATGGACATCATTCAACCTGTCAAATCAAATCACTGACATGGAACAAATTATTTTTAAAATTTCTATAAAGCCTTCTAGATCTCTCCTGCAATTTCCTTGGAAAACCAAAGAAATTTTGAGCATCCCATTGTGTCTTAATTTTTCTACCTGTCTTGGCTTTCCCTCTAGATCTTAAGCCCTATCAAGTCCCTGCTCATACCCACACCTCTTAGACCTCTCACAAGATGAGAGTCACACCACAGTTGTGCAACAATTTCACCCCAAAGGTAACCATGATAATCAGCCTCTTAATTTGTTCATTTTAATTTTTCAAGACTGCTACCCGAAGCCACATGTGAATGAAATTTAAGGACCAAAGCAAACACAGAGAATGAGTCTTCCAGATGTCAGACCTTCGTAAAAACAGGAGGAAAGCAGGCTGCGGTGGTTCCATCAGGTCGGCAGAGATATGAAGTGGGGCTGTGAACCTGAAAAAGCAGAGACACATGGATCAGATTCTAAATATATAAATTGTTGAAAAGATGGGCTAAAGAAACCTTTCATTATTGAAATTGCTCCCCTTGATTGAAACAGGCGAAGGAGGGTATTGCCATGCATCGTCTGCTGGCCCACTCACAGAGCAGATATTGTTCTCCTTCCTCATTTCACATCTGTTACTCTTCTCTGTTCAAAAGGATATTTGAGGTAAAGGTTCCCCGGCTCCTAGGGGATCCACAAGCTTTTAAATGCTATTACCAAATGGATTTCGGTGTGTGGGACTTCCACAGGGGTCTTTTTAGAAGTTCTCACAGACATTATATTTTATTTTTAAATAGTGTGGATTCATTGAATCAAAATAGCATATGCTATGGGCAGTGCAAAGTAGATTTTCAGACATCTACCTATCTTAATTTTAACTTGTGCTCTTTCAAGAAAGGGATTATAGGAAATGAAGGGAAAAAAAAGAAGAAAATTTTTTCAAGTAAAAAATGGTGCTGAAATACTGAGTGGTGTTCATTTCTGGGAAAATACAAGGATTTTAGAGCAGTAAGTGGAAAATATTTCTTTGTGTACAATCACTTATTTTCAAACAGTCTGGACTTATTCACTTATATAAGTGGGTGTTACATTTGTATGTGTGTGTGTGTGTGTGTATGTGTGTGTGTGTGTGTGTGTGTGGTGCTGGGGATTGAACCCAGGGCCTTGTGCCTGTGAGGCAAGCAGGTGTTAGATTCTTAACCCAAGATGATGTGATCTGATGTTATGTGCCTAATACATTGTAGGACCCTGGGGAGACTGGCCGAGTTGAAGAGATGCTAAGACAGTGATGGATCTTACTATCCCTGAAAGATTTTTTGCTGGGTTGTGGTTCGGGAGAACTGGGTACTCACCTAACACCATCCAAAAAATACACAAACATTTTACAGTATTTACTCTGTACTAGACATGGTATTAAGTGTCGTGTGAGGATTACCTCACTGAACTTCATGACAACCCTCTGAGTCAGGCAGTATTATTATCTCCATTTCGAAGATGAACAAATGAGGCACAGAGAGGTTACCTTATTTGCTCAAAGTCCTTTAAGCAGTGGTAGAGCTGGGATCTGAACCCAGGCAACTTGACTCCAGAGCATTAACTTTTACGTGACATTGCCTGTGATAAGAAAGTGATGGAATTTTCCAGAGTACTACATTCTCCCAACTATAAAAGTGGGATATATTACCTTCCATTCAGTGTTACTGTAGAGTTAAGATCAGTTTAAAATGTACTCTTCACATCATCATAGTATTTATATCTAGAGATGAATGTGGCTTTCTGTTTTTAGGTTACTGTGTTATCCCTTAATAAATTCTGCCATACTTAAGAAGTGTTTCATGTGTATATTTCCTGTTTCTCAGACTAGTTTATAAACTGTCTGGAAATGGGGCTGGCTATATATATTTTCTGATATGACATGTCTAGTGCAGTACTCAGCATTCAAATAAATACTTGTTAGATATTTAAACATAAAACACATACACACACACACAAAATCCACTGATTTAATCAGAGATTTTTCTATAAATTTTGCACTCTGGTTTAGGGGTTTAAAGGAAATATTTACTACATATGCCTCTCTGAATAACTTAGACTGGTTGATTCTTTTCAAGGTGATGGGCCCAAATGTCTTTTCCCTACTGTTTCCATTTTCCACATATTACAGTATGTGTCACAATGTCACTCAAATATCTGTATTTAACAGATAAAAAAGGTTGATGAAAGGCACAGTGGTGCTCACAAGACATACCCTTTAGTTAGAAATGGGTTTATATTTCAAGAGTATGGGAAAACCCTCTGTAAGTGAGGTAGGAGTTGAGGGACATCAAGATGGCCGAGGCAGGGTATGAGAAAAGTGCCAGACAGAGAACCAGACAGGGAGATAAGTCATCATGTCTCTGTTTATGGTAAGTCCCATTACTATGGCAAGTCCCACCATGGAAGGCTTATTACCCTAGCAACTCCCACCACAAGATCTATATTCTAATTGGGTGGAAATAAAGTAACCAATGGAAACAAAGAAGGTAAAGTTTTCATCATGTACACAGGAAAGGGATGAGGCACAGCTCACCATGTAAGAGTGGTCCAGACATCCAGGCCTTGAGCCACTCCTTCCAGACCAATTAGCTCCACTTTATAGCATGTTCTTTCACTAAATCTATGCTCAGCCTGTTACTTCTGCATGTCTGGCTCAGTTCTTTGTTTCCAAAGCCAAGAACCTGCACCCCAACTGGACACCCACCCATATTATCATAAATATTATATTTAAGGATAGTCTTCTAGCAGTGATGTAGAGACATTTAGATTTAACAGTTTCATATATATATATTTTAAAAGCTTCTTGTTTTTGGTTTGCAAAGTAAACTCACTACCACTCATTGCTAATTTGTATTACTGTTCTTTCTTGGATAATGGACTCTTATAATGAGATAAAAACAGTATGAGAAACTATGGTGAAGGCTAGTAATTTTAATTTTTTTTTCTTGTTTTCTGTTTAGCTTCTCGGGCTGGGAAAGCTTTCTGTGGGTATGTGGACTTTTCTTGTCTTTTAGATGAGCTAATGAATTTGGCTAATTGGAAGAGAAAATTTATGTGAAGGAATCCAATAGTTATAGCTAAAACAGATTTCATCAAGTTTCCAATGCAAACACAGGTGTTGGCTAATTGGTGGTGTGGATTTGATTAAAGAAAATTTTTACCCGAATTAAAGGAAGAACAGTACCTACCATTTTCTTTTCTCCCAGCTCTGTTTCCACTTAGAAAATATTTTTAGGATGTCTGCTAGTTAGAATCAAAGTGATCTTCTTAAAACTAAGCAGTTTGCTAATGAATTCAATTCCTTGTGGGATCTGGCCTGAGGCACAATTACCTGTTGAACTGGGACAGACAATGGCTGAATCACAGCTGTAGTCACTCCTGTCTTTGGAGATGATGATCCTATTGTCAAGGACACAGAAGTTGTTTTCTTTTGAGCTCTGGAAAACAGGGGAAGGCAGGTGTCCAGTTAGAATTTTTTAGCTGGAATTTTTCTTTGAAATATTTCTACAGAAGAGCTGGGTTTCTTTCTGTATACTTCAACTGTCACTATTTCAGAAATTGAAGCCCGACTTACAAGCTTGAAAAGCTGTAGTCAGCATGAACACAGAATGTACCTCCTGGATATTGAGTGAAATAATTGAGAATCTTTGTGAAAGATTCAAAAGTATTAACCCTGAGAATCCTAATACTTGGAAGAGGCCTAATCTTTAAAAGTAAATATTTAAAATCTTTAAGGTTAGGGTCCCATATTTAATTCAAATTTTCCATTTAGCAGCTGTTCTTCATTCTGGTTTTGTTGAGCGTTTTTTGTCTTTTCTCGGTGCATAAGTGTTAGTGAGGTGTAAGGGAAAGATTAAGATGACTCAGTGTCTAGGTCCACCATTGTAAAGGAGATGGCCATGTACCCTCAAGCAAGTCACATCACTTTATTGAACTTGAGCTCTTTGTCTGAAATGAGAGGTGTTAAGTACATGATCATATAAGGTCCCTTTAGAATCTGGGATTATTTGATGCTGAATGGATAGACTTGAGTTTATATATAATTTCATTATTGTTTGAATTGTACATATTTACCAGGTACAATGTGATAATTTGATGCACATATACAATGTACAATAATCAAACTGGGGCAGTTAGCATTTTGAATGAATGTAACTATCATGTGTCTACTAGCAAATAAAGACGTTAGTTAGCACATCTCAACATCAATGGGGTTTTCTTACCAAATTCTAGTAATTTTTACCAAATAATTAAGATATTTTATGTTTTCTGAATAATCCATATGTCTTTGTAGGAATAACTATCAGTTAGATGGTTGTCTTTGAAACTACCCTTGTATATGGTTGGTTTGGGCACACTGATAATGAAATGCAGAATTCAGAGTGCAAATTTATAAGTTAAACCTCATTCCAACTTGAAATACAGGATTTCCAATGACTGTCAGATGACCTTTCCCAGTCAAGCACAGCACACCTGGATAAGTGTCCCCAAATTTGGTTATCATTCCTTGTTACCGAGATGAGCAATGAAAACATAGGTACTTACTGTGGCATAGCTCCAGCTTTTGACTTGAAAGCTAAACTTTCACTGTCAGAATCTGTGGAACTGGCTCCTGGGAAAGCATTTAAAAAATAAGGAGAAAGTTAAGATTCAGTGGTATCTATAATTTCAGAGTAATGTTCCTCATCTTTAAACAGTAAACTACAAAGTCTTAGTTTTGGTTTAAATACACAATAAAATAGAGAATGATTCAGATTCATATCATTTTATTGGATTCTTCAGAAAATCATTTTAAAAAAGAATTATGGTAAATAGCTCTTTTTTTTTAAAGCAGTATGCTTTTAAAGCCAGCTTTATTATCAGTTTCATTTTTTATCACTTTGGCCATCACAATTACTTTTACATGGCTTAAAAACAAAGAAATAAATGTGTGTGTCTGTGTGGGAAAATACTCATGATTTTAAACTTTAATCCTAGGAGATTACATGGTGTGGATTATTAATCTCTTTATTATTCATTAATCAGAAGATATTTTCTGACTCTTGGATAAATTCAAGTATATGACAGTAGCTTCAATCTTGGATAAGAGGGCCTCTGATTTTTGGACCCTGCCCTCCCAGACTCAATTGTATCATTTCTATTCCTGAATAGAGAATCACATCAGAGTTTTAGTCTAACGGTAAACTGCATTCAGATTTTAATATTTACATATTGTATGTCGAGAGATTCTAAGTGGCAAACTTAAAGTAACTGCAATGGTTAAAAGTATATTCTTGATATTTTATTTTATAAAATACCTTTCATTTGGGTTATTAAAATTATCTTGCAAAATAACATAGGCTTATAGAAAAATAACCAAATAGTACAGTATTGAGCAATATAATAGTTAAGATCTGAGGGTACTTCCCTAAAATACCATCAGGCACATGTTGGGATTGTATTTTTCAGATAAGGTAAATGTATCAACACACATATATTTATGTACATATTTATGCAAATGGATTCATACTCTGAGTGCTCCTTCTAAATAGATACTTTTGTCTATCAGTATGTGCAGAATACATAAGTTCACTTAATTCTCTTGAATGGCTGTCTAGAATTTCCTCCTGTGACTCTGTTGGTATACGCTCTTGTCTTTTGTTGGTGTTGAACACAGACATGCTTTGTAACTCGGATGGAATGTTTGCTTTGTCCCTTCCTACTTATTTCTATAACTACCATCCACCGTGGGCTTTCTTCACCTGGCTCCTGGACTACCACAATAGACGCTTATCTCGTTTCTCTCCCTGCCACATTCATTCATGCTCCTAGAGCACACCTTTCCTGTTAAAGAACTAGATGATGTACCAGCCTCAGAAAATTAAAACTCCCCAAATCTGACATTTCATTGGCCTTTGTGATTTCCACCCCGATTTTCTTCCTGCATTTCCAAGTCATATCATCCTGATGCAGGGCATCAAACATACTCACTGGGGTATATTCCACAGGTGAGGGGATACAGCAGTGAAGCAGGCACATACACAAATCCCTGTCCTTGTGGAGTGTGTGCTCTTGGAGGACACAGACAATAAAAGAGACAATGAAATACAGGACATGGTGGTGAGTAAAATGGGCAAAAGATAGAGTGGGGGTGCTGGAGTGTAGGCAGAGGGGGATGTGATGGGAGTTACAATTTTAAGTCAGATGCAGGGGAGGGCTCCCTCAGGACCCAGAGAGGTGAGGGCTTTCCTCCTTGTTCATGCTCTACTTTGCACCTATAGTTGCAGTATTTGCTTTCCTCGGTTACGCCTACCCAGTCTTTTCTTGGTATTCTGCCTTGACATTTGGATCAGCCCAGCCATTTTTTCTGTGCTCTGTCTTTGAGTTCCCAATGTTCTTCTTTACACCATACATGCCACTTATCATACCTGCTAGAAAACTATTAGTTCTCTGAGAACGGAGGCAGGGTTAGGAAGGGAACTATCAATTTGTGAGAACTTACTACTTGCCTAACAGTCCGCCAGGCTTTCTTTATATCATTTAATTATTTTCATAATGAACCTAAGAAGTGAGTTATGTCCAATTTATAGAGAGGAAACCTGAGAGCCACGTGGTCGGGCAGTTTGCATGAGGTCACATGACTAGAAAGTGTTGGTGACAGGATTGCACACAAGGTTTTGAACTCATGGTCTGTGACCTTCCTATCCCCTGTGACTTTCCTGTGCTCTGCATGTCTGTGTTCCTCATGGTGCTTAGCTTCATGCACAGGGCTGGCCTGTAGCTTCTGTTGGAATGAACACATAGAATAAGGGAATCACAAAGCTTGTCTGGGGACAGGAGCAGACCATGCAAGTAGAGGGGGCATGTAGTAAGGTAGCAGCAGAGGCCAGCATGGGCAGGGCTGGCACATTGGGGCTGACGTGTCTGGGCACTGAGAAGGCTGATGATGAAATAAACTGTGCAGGATTAACTGGGGGTGTAATAGGAAAAAAAAGGGAAAAAACAAACAACAGACCACCTAGCACAAACTGTAGACCAGGAGGTGGGGTGGGGAGCCGAGCAGGGGAATCCCGAGGAGTCACCAGGAAAGCCTCGATTATCAGAGAGGCTGGGAAACCTGAGAGACTAGTTTTCTTGGAATCATAAAAGTGTTTTGGAGAAGGAGAGGGTGGCTAACGTCCTGCAGGAATGATCCCAGACACTCTCTAAGTGGCTAGAAGTCAGGGAGACAAGCAGCTACTTTTCACCTGTCTCTAAATATTTGAATCATTAAAAAAATTTGTAAAAAATCTTCTGATGCCAGGAACAGTGGCATGCCTGTAATCCCAGTGACTGCAGGCTGAGAAGGGAGGATGGCAAGTTTGAGGCCAGCCTCCTTGGCAACTTAGGGAGACGCTGTCTCAAAAGGGCTGGGAAGCTGGGGGTGTGGCTCAGTGGTAAGGTGCTCCTGGGTTAAATCCCTGGTGCCACACACACAAAAAAGTGTTCTGATGACCTCTGTTTAAAAAGTCATTCTTGGGCTAGGGATGTTGCTTAGTTGTTAGTTGTTAGTGGGTAGGCACTTGCCCCTAGAATGTGTGAGGTCCTGGTTCAATATCTAGCACCACCACCAAAAAAAAAAAAAAAAAAATTCTTGCTACCTTTTTATAGGTGATTTTCAGAGTAAAAGGTAGAGTCAATTTGTGTACCCAGAATGAGAATACATTTATTAGTTTTTGTGCACCTGTCCAGCCCTTGTGAAATCTCAATGTCACCTTATATCTCAGGTGTCAGAGCAGMTCTTGCAGAAGACAGATCAAATCCCTCTCTCTGTGCCAGTAAGTTCCCTTCCTTCCCTTCAGGGCGATTCTTCCCCTCCCTCTCCCATTCTGTCCCTCCCTCCAGTCATCTGCTTTGCACCTGCTGGTCAGGAGAAAGGAATGTTTAATGACAGGGATAGATGTTTGTGAGAGGACAGGCTAAATTAAAAAAAAAAAAAAGAATCAAGGTACAAAAGAACATGTGAAGTGAAATATGTACACGTACAGGAAAAAGATCAGCATCCTAACAATGACTGTCAGTTGTACAGCGTGCACAATTGTAGAATGTGCACTTACCATGGTCACAGTCAGGGCCCTGGGTTCAATGCCCGCCCCACCAACAAAACAAAACAAAGTCATAATTTCCGACATCATGTGCCAGGTACCACTGTAGGGGATTAAGTCATTCAATCCTGACAAGAATCTCATTTTCTCCAGGTACAGATGAAGAGACAGAACACAGAGCCATTGAGTCAGGGTTCAAGGTCACAGAGCATGAAACTATGCGCTTCATAAAATATTATTAAAAAATTACTTTTAAACAATGTGTGGGCCCAAGGTGTGCTGAGACTCCTTCAGGTTCCCTTCACAGGTTTTTGAAATCTAGCAAAAGGGAGCTATGTGCCCAGCTTTCATCTACCCATTGCCAGATGTTGAGGTACTGCATGGTCCTGGACTCTTGGGCTTTACCTTACTGGGAAGCAGGAGCAATTATCCACATCACATCACAACATGCTTCCAAAGGTAAAGGGGTGCAGCAACATTTTATCTGATCATTTATAACCCCCAGAACCTAAAAATAAGTGTCAAGCAGCATCCGCCCACCCACATCAGACTTCCGCATTCCTGTCCAGCCTCTACATTTTTAATGCTTCCTTGTCCTCCATGCCACTGGATCCAAATCTTCCTTATCCACAGGTCTGGTTTAATTCAGCTTCCTTCAACCCATATTTCAGGACCACCATGGTACCCTCTTTGGAGCTCTTAAAACTGTAATGATCTATATAATCCATTTTACAATCACAGGAGGAGGGAGGAGTGGAAAGTTGAGATGTCTGTTTATTTTATGTGTTTGTGTTTATCTTTCCTACTCTTGAGACCATCTCCTGTCATACAGTCCTAAAGGACACTCCCCTCCCCTCCCAGTACACATGTGGGCACACTCCATTTCCTTTCTGCTTTCCATCTTGTTCTCCTAAATAACATATTTTTCTCTGTTGCACTATTCTCATCAGCATAGAGACACATTCTAGAAATTCCTGGCTCAAAACAACAACAACAGTAACAACAATAACAACAAGAACATCTTTTGTGACTCTATATACCTATCGAGTTACTGGCTTTTCTAGTTTCTTTGCTGGTGGTCAAACAAGCCTTCCCATCGAGTATCTAATATCTGCTACTTCCATATTTTGCAAACTTGACTCAGGTCATTGTGTTTGACCTTGGGTCTTCTCTTGAATTCCCAAGCCCCTCTTGCTAAAATCAACAACATTCCCAGTTGCCTAATCCAGTGGTTTCCTCCCTGCCCTCATCTGACTGACCTCTCAGCAGGGGTGGACGTGGCCAGCACCTCCCTCCTTCCTAACACAGTTTGCCTCGCTCCTCCCCYGCACCACCACTCTGCCTTGGCCCTGTCCTGCCCCAGGGGCTCTTCTTTCTTACTCTTTTTCTGTAAGCTCTTCTTGGAACCTCAATGCTTACCAGTATCACAGGCTCAGGCTCAGGCCCTTCTCTCTTCTCCCTAGCTGATCTGTCTGGGAGTGCATCCAGTCCCACCGTTACCATCTATGTGTGGAAGCTCCAGAGTTTTCTCGCTCTGTGTACTGGGCTATATTCATATGTCTGACTAACAGACTTGTCCCATCTGTTTGGCTATCCAGACACAGATTTCAAATCTATGTTCACAGCACAGCACTCAATCCCTTAACCCCCCATCTTCTTCTCCATTGGCAACACTGTCCACACAAGTGGCAGAGCTGAAATCCACAGTGTATTCATACCTGATTCTTTTCATCCCACATCTAACCCACKGCAGGGCTTTTGATGTCTACCTCTGAGCTGTTCCTATTTATACCGCATCCTCCTGCAACACCACTGAAGCTCTTCCGTCCTGATGCAGGAGGCTTCTAACTGGTCTTCCTGATTATAAGTCAAAGCAACAGTTAAAAATACAATGAGAAGGTGGCTCAGTGGTAGAGCACTTGYCTAGCATGCTTGAGGCCCTGGGTCCGTTCCCAGTATTGCAATATGACTTACAATGCAGACCAAATTGCTAACAGTGACCGGAAGGCCCCATGTCCCACATACCCTGACTGATGATGCTCCAGYTGCCCTAGATTTCCTCAGCTACTTCAGCTCTCTGGTCTTCCCCATCCAGGTCATTTGTATCTGTCCCCTATCGATCTGTAGCCCCCTTTCCCCAGTATTCCCTGTGGGCTTCTTCTTGGTCTTTGATCAACTGTCATTTCTTCAGAGTGGCCTTCCTGATCACCCTGTCCTGTCAGCCACCTCCATTTCCCTCACAGACTTGCTGATGTCTGCAGTCATYTATGAGTTTGCTGGCTCCCTTGCCCTCTTCTTCGAAGTGTKGGCACCTGTCTTGTYCACMGAGMTGCTCCTCCTGCTGAAACTGCCTGYCTCACAGAAGCAACTTGACAATGGCCAGAAAGTGCTCAGTTATGTGCCCTGAAAAAAATGGCATTCTCAGATCCTAAGTTCTGAAACCCCATGAAGGTGAGGGTCACAGTGGCCCCCATGATAATGAGTAACTTTGCATTTTATTTTGTAGCAGCAAAGAGGGAAGACTTGAGTCAGACTGCTTGGGTTTGAATCCTTGACTCCCGTGTGTGTGTGTGTGTGTGTGGTGTGGTGTGTGTGCAGGCACACACACATAACTGCCATTTTGATCTCTACTTAGCCTCCCTCATCTTCAGTTTCTTCAACTGTAGATTTGGGTGATTTTTGTAAGGATCAAATGAGATAACCCATGTAAAAACTAAGAGCAGTATTTTCCTACTGAACACTACATGGATGCTAGCTATTCTTCTTTTGAGTTGTAGTTGGACACAATAGACTTATTGTATTTGTTTTTATGTGGTGCTGAGGATCGAACCCAGGGCCTTGCACATGTTAGGTGAGCGCTCTGCCTCTGAGCCACATACATCCCCAGCCCTAGCTATTCTTCTTAAGCTATCATTTTTTGTTTGTTTGTTTCCTTCTAAAATTTGATGTGTAGGATGGCAGAAGTTAGACCATTTTCAGCTTTTAGGGTGTTAAACTTTCAGAGGTTTCATTGAGATTTAAAATGGTACAGAAAACGTCCTTCYCTCTAAGAGCTTCCTAGTGACTGCATGATATAGTAATGGCCATGTGCCTTAGGAAGCAGCTCCGTTGTGACATGCCTGACACTAAGGCAGAACTGAAGTTCATAAATATAAATACTTCTGACTTTAAGTGATGATATGAGCCTAGGAATGTTTCTGAGGKTCTCTCTTATAGCACGTCATTGTTCTTAGGGATAAAAATACACTAAAGTTACTTGCTTTAGAAAAAAGTCATTACCCACATTTCACAAGGTGATGGGCCAGTTTTCTAAAGCACTTTGTTAGTCTTACAAAGATGACTCTTAATAGGTCTTTATTCTTGTTATGTGTAGCTCCTTTAACCTTCCCTTCAATTTTTCTAAAGTCACACACAAACTATCTAAAGTCACAAATGCTTGATGGCTGGTTAGCTGCATAAGGATGTTTAGTGGTATCACCAGGAAAACTACTCTTGTAGAAATTCACCATCTTTATTGAAGTCCTGAACATGAAATCTACACTGCATACAGAACTCGAGCGGAGTGGCTCAACCAGTTGAGTTCATAGACAGAATGATTTTGCCAGACACAGTGGGGCATGCCAGCTGCTTGGGAGGCTGAGACAGGAGGATCACAAGCTCAAAGCCAGCCTCAGCAATGGTGAGGTACTAAGCAACTCAGTGAGACCCTGTCTCTAAATAAAAATACAAAATAGGGCTGGGGATGTGGCTCAGTGGTTGAGTGCCCCTGAGTCCAATCTTTGGTATCCCCCCCCCCAAAAAAAAATAAGAGAGAGAAAAGAAGAAAAAATCTAATGTGATTTCATTTAACATCTAAAGTATAGAAGTAGTATGATCAAAATTTACCATATTTCTAGCAATCCTAGAAGCAAATAAAGCATTCCATTTTAAGGTGCAGTTTGTGAACTTGGATTTGGAGACAAATCTTATCACTATTAGCAAACAGGTTTTTTTTTGTTTGTTTGTTTTTGTTTTGTTTTTTAATTGGAAGTTTAAGTTCCCTTCACTGCATTCTAAAATACTTCAAGAAGTTTGCTACATTACCTACCCAGGAATAAAATTTATTGCTAACTCATTAGCAAAATGTTAAAAATCTAATCATTTATTTTTTCATTCATGTAGCACTTTGAATACCTATCAGTAGGATACAGTGGTTAAGAATATCTTTCCTATTCTTTAAAAAAATTTTTTTTTCTTTTCATTCTTAAGACTACCTTTGTGAAGTGGTTTTTATAGAAACTAAGAATGTGGACCATGGAGTAAGACAGCCTGAGTTCCAATTCTTATGTGACTTGGAATGGTCCCTTTATCCTCTCTCAGTCTCAGTTTTCTTTTTATAAAAAGAGAATAATTATGCCTCAAAGGATTACAACAATGATTTACGTGTACGTGTGTGCATTCAGTAAGTATCACATGAGTATTACTTATTATTGCATATAAGATGTCACTTTTATTTATTTTTTATTTATCAAGAGGATGAAGTTCCTTGAARAGCTTGAAGATCTTTGTTTTCAAATACAACATAGTGGGTCCATTTATTAAAAGAAAGGTGTATACTTCCAGCCAGCAGTAAGAGATACCTTTGAAACTAATTTTTTTGGGGTCAATTTTTGATGGAGTTTTCTTCCACTTTAAAGAATGAAGAAATTTGGTGCTATTAAACAGTTTTTTTAATAGTTTTTTAAAAATGAAGATTAAGGGGCCTGGGATTGTAGGTCAGTGGTTGATCACTTGCCTAGCATGTGTGAGRCACAGGGTTCGAGTCTCAGCACTACATAAAAATAAATAAATAAAATAAAGGTATTGTGTCATCTGCAACTAAAAAGTATGCTTAGAATATGAAGAMTAAGGTAGTAGAGATCTCAAGGTTGTTAATATTCTTTCTACATTTGAACTACTATTTTAAAAAGTAACTGATCAACCAGGTGTTCACCAAGTTATAGATTTAGACATAGTATAAACACTGGGCACAATATACATCTGTTTTAAATTACTGGTACTGATCAAAATGCAATAATATTACAAACTATAATACATTGATATCAAGTGTTCCAATTTCCTGGAGGTTAGGTCTTATAAAAAATAACGAATAGAACAAAAGAAACAGTCCATTCTCTGCTACCAATTTTTAATACAACTTTGATTTCCAAAATCAGTCTCACCAAGTATCTCCAAATTCATAGTACACTTAGCAGGAATAAGGGAGCCGTAACGGAAGAGGCACAATTCTAGAACTCAGTTAAAAATGAGAACATTTAAAAATATTCAATCACTTGAAAATCCCATAAATGATTTCCTAACTCCATTGTAGTTTAACTGCAGTTGATATGGTATTTCAATTATATTCCCATGCTTCATTTACTTGAAAAAGGAAAAAAAAAATAAGTCAGACACTGTACGTTTTAAGTAAATTCAAGTGAATGTAGATAAAAGGTTATAAATGAGAAGGACTGAATGTTGACRTTAGACACAGTTCATGTATGTCTAAGTGTCAGAACGGTTTATTTATAGAGTTTTTCAGGAGAAATGAGGGTTGAAGCACAACACAGCTCTGCTCTTTGCATGGGGAAAGCACACACGAGGTGTTTTACAAGGATGCTCTGAGGCCCTTCCCACTCCTTCCCTGTGTACCCTCCTTACCTTCAATGAATACCTCTGCAGATGTTGTGTCTGAGCCGCTGGGGTTGGTAGCCAGACAGGTATAGCGGCCTGTGTCGTCCTCAAAGGCCTCTGGTATGGTCAGAGTGTGAAGGTCCCCGCCCTCACAGTGGATCTGAATGTCAGGCGTGTTGTGTAGCTCTCTCCCCTCACAGAACCATCTGCAGGCCAAATGGGGGTCAAAGGACAGAGAGTTAAGAGAGGAAATGGTGATGTTTAAAACAATAAAGCAGAAACCAAAGGCTGAATGCTATGCAATAAGATGCTTGTTTGATAAAAGATCTGTGTTGATGTTACTCATGGAAACTCTACATTTGAGACCGTGAAATTAATGACTAGACAATTCCCGTAGGTTTTCTTTGTAAAGCATCTTGCACATTTTATGAACCTTGAAATAAGGGACATTGTCAGACTTGGAAAGATCATTTTGATTACAAAATTAAAAGGGACGAAAACTCAAAATGTCTTCTAAAATGTTTTATGATAAATGCCTCCTACATTGAATATAATTTTTTTCTATTATTCTTATCTAAAGAAAATATAAAAGTAATATGTGTTATGCTCAAAATATCTGTTAAGGGAAACTTATCCTCATGTTAAAAAAAAATCATAGAAGGCAGTATTTTTGTTGACCCTTCTGATCAGCTGAGCAGTGACAGATTTAATGCCTTCCACATTTTTGATATTTATAAAACTTTCTAGCAGACCGCCTTGGCCTCTGAGATGCAGAGAGAAATAGCAGTTATGCTGTAATTTATTCTTGCTGGTTTGCACTTTTCCTTTCCCAAACAAGCAAGACCTTGGGGTGGAAGGCTACAGGCCGACAGGCTGTTTTAACACAGGTTTCTTCTCACACTCTTTCTTCTATTCCCCCAGCACCTCAGACTCTCAACACCATTTGATTGCTTTTACATTAAAAAAAAAAGAAGAAGAAGAAGAAGAAAGAAAGAAAAAAAAAAGAAAAAAGTTTCCCCCAAGTCCTAAAATGTGATTTATTTTTAAAGAGATGTGTAGGAATGTGCCATTTGCAACTAACAGAATTGAAGTCTCTGGGACCATATTGTCCATTTAGCTTTTAATTATCACCAAGAGAATTTTCTCTGAGTCTAATCACTTACAAAATTCTTTGGACCTGGCATCCTTTTGTGAAAATATGACACTGAAGACTAATTTTTTTTCTTTGTTTAGAGTAGCATCATATAGGTATTTCTCTGGATTTAATTTGAAAGGAGAGTTAAGAAAGCAAATGAGTTTGTGAGTTCTCAGAACATGAACCCCAGAAACCATACTAAAAACTAAATATGGGATACTTACCAAAGAACAGACACAACTTTGGGAATTATAAAAGATAAAATAACTGAGCACTCTGTACAATGTGACTCACCCTGTTTGGGGGGCAACTGAGAATGGTGGTAATTCTTGATTCTAGTGCACACTGTGGTTTTGTTTTCATAAAGCTGTGGAGAGCTTTCCAGCCCAGAACCATCTTCCCAGTCCTTTCCCCCTCCACCCCTCCACCCCCGGCTTTTTATTTCCTTGTTTTCTTTCCAAAACCATAGTCCAGTTCCTCACCCATTAGTGCTAACTGCAGCTTGAGTCTTAATTGATCTCTCCGTCTCAAGCTATAAATTCTTTCTATATTCTGTCATCAGATTAATGCTCTTGAAACTTTTCCCTACACATGCTATTTTCTGAAATTCAGATCTGTCATTGAGGCCTTTCATGTAACTTGGATTTAACTTTATTTTCTATCATTTTTCTGTACTAATCCTCTGTTTCTGTCCAATGTTTCCAGAGATACATTTCTCCCTAACTAGCCCTCAAGGATTCCTGTGTAACCCTTGCCTACTCTTCTTTGCTCACACTTTCTCTCTTTGGAGTTTTTTCCTGACTTTCTTCCTTGTTATGGTTTAGATATGATATGTCCCCCAAAAGCTCAGGTATGAGATAATATAAGAGGGTTTAGAGGTGCAATGATTGGATTAGGAAAGCCTTAATCTAATCAGCGACTTAATCCCCTGATAGTTATTAACTGGGTGGTAACTGTAGGCAGGTAGGGTGTGGCTGGAGGAGGTAGATTCCTGGGGCACATAACTTTGGGGTTTATATTTTGTCCTTATTGAACAGAGTTGTCTCTCTCTGCTTCCTGGTGTCATGTTTCCAGCTGCTTTCCTCTGCCACATACTGCTACCATGATGTTCTGTCTCACTTCAGGCCCTGAGGAGTGGAGTCAGCCATCTGTGGACTGAGACCTCTGAAACCATGAGCCCCTAAATAAACTTTTGCTCCTTAAAATTGTTCTTGCCAGATCTTTTGGTCACAGCAGAAAAAAAAAAAAAAAAAGCTGACCAAAATATTCCTTAATCTCAGTTAGGGATCACTCTTCCTTAAGGCCAAACTAAAGTTTTCTCCAACAAATTAATTTCAACTGCACACATGTATGCTCAGCATTTTCTGTGTAGAGGAAGGTTTTGCATTGCATACTACAAGGTGATGTAAAAAAATGCCTGGCAAACTCTGAGGCTCACTGAGGAGTCTGCCTATATTGCCCATTAGAGTGGTTTTACTTTCCAAAAGGAAGCTATAAACCCACTACTACAGGGAAAAATCAAACATGGGGAAAGTACAATAGAGGTTTAAGACAAAGATGAATTTCTTTGGGTGGATGTACTTCATAGAGAACCTTTTGCTGACTACACGAGTACAGTCTCTTATCCTCTAACTCAGCAAACTTGTTGTCTACAAGCCTATTTTTACATGACTGTGTGTAAAGAATGGTTTTTATACTTTCAGATGGGAGAAAAAAAAATCAAAAGAATAATAATATTTTCTGACAGCAAAAATTATATAAAGTTCAAATTTCAGAGTCCATAAATAAGTTTTTTTTGAATGCTCATTTACATATTGCCCAGGACTACTTTTGCATGACAATGACAGAATAGAGAAGGGTTGAAACATTCTGACTGATGGTCCCAAATACCTACTATTTGGACCTCTCAAAAAGTTTGCCAACACCTGCTTTTTGCTCTTTAATGTATGATCCTTGGGTCAGTGGCAATAGCACCACCTGAGAGCTTATTAGATGTGCAGCATCTTGAACCTCATCCCAAAGCTACCAATCAGTTCAGATCCCTCAGGTGATTCAGGTGCATATAATGTTTAAGTGCTGGTTGGATGTGTCCTGATCCACACTAGCATGGCAGAGTCTTAGCTCTCACATACACTATTTACTTCTTCAATATAACAGCCATGTTCTATGTGTTTTGTATCTCTGGTCCTTGCACATAGGCCCATACAAAATTGTGTTCTTTTTGGTTGGTAAAAAAAATTTTAACACCATTCATTTGACAATTGACCTTCTGTATTGTTTCCTTATATTATTATTCAATACCAAATATATTTATATTTTTTTCTCCATCTAGAAAATCAGCCACTTCTTGATTGAAAAAAAATGCATTTAAAAATTGATTCATAGTATGTTGCATGTAGTTGGTGCTTTAAAAATATGATCTTTCATGCATTACTTTAGAATATGCTTCCTGTTTAAAAAAAGTAAAAGGATTCATGGCCTAATAGTTTTGTAAAATGATGCATATTATTTTTCATATTTTCAAGTCTACATTTCTTATTAAAGACTCTGACATGTTCTTCAGAAAAAAAAAATTTGTTTAATGTGGTCTAATCCATCATTTACCAACTTTATTTGACCATGTGATTCTTTTTCATTTAGCACCTACTAACATCCTATGTTATAGAATGCTTTCCTAAAATATTAATTCCATAGAACTTGTATCTTATAAAAAACCAATTATAAAGTGAGTAATAATAAGTACAAGGCTGAAAAATTAATTAACAGTAATCACAATAAAATACTTGAAATACACATAAACACTGACAGGCAGATTATTGTAATAATGGATATTCTATAACAATGGATTTAACACGTTGTCTGTACCAAACTATGGTACTTAAATTTCGATTTTATAATAAAATAGTTCTTCATGTGTTTTTTGATCCTACTAGAATGTATGTTCTCCGAGGTAAATAATTTTTTCACTAGGTTCCAGCACTGTGTTTGGTACTTGGGAGTATAAATCATGCCTTTTTTTGTGGGGGGCAGTTACTGGGGATTGAACTCGGGGGCATTCGATCACTGAGCCACATTCCCAGCCCTATTTCRTATTTTATTTAGGGACAGGGTCTCACTGAGTTGTTTAGTGCCTTGATTTTGCTGAGGCTGGCTTTGAAATTTCTATCCTCCTGCTTCGGCCTCCCAAGCTGCTGGGATTATAGGCATGTACCACCACCACACCTGGCTTGAATCATGCCTTTTTATCTTGAATATTTCTGCTTCTTTGACATCTGGGCTTTGCTGAACCTGGAGAGACAGCCCCTTACAGGCTAGCCAGTTCTTGGGGATATTAAAAGCATGACTTTCATATACAAACTAACTAGTCTAAAACCAGTATCCCTTCTACCTTCTCTGTTGGGCTTTTCTTACTCAAAGCCACTGCCTACCTGCCTAATCAACCCCAAACCAGGTATGAACATTAAATGACAGCTCCTAGGCCCCAGGCCCACTGAAATGATCTAAACAAACCAGTCCTAAATCAGCTTATCCTGCCTTACCTCTCCCTTTCTGTGGAAGCCATAAGCCACATTTCCCCACTCCCTCCTTTTGATTTCTGACAGATCCTAGTGCTCACCACCTAGTGGTTCCCTGTCATGTGAGGCACGTCCCTTGCTCTTGGGAACTATTAGTACAGACTATCTTTCAATGACAGTTACCCACTGATCTGTTGGCCTCACCATATCTGAATAATAATAAAACCAACGTTTGAAAACATGGAATACTGCCATTGCATTGGGCTAATCAAAGAAGCAGCAGCTTACAACCGAAAGAAGGGCTGAATGGATAGTTTAAATAACATCTGTCATGGTTTCTGCTTTAAGATGTATATACAGAGAGGTTTATCAACTCTCAACAACTCAAACTAAAGTGCACTTAAAAAGCATAAAATTAAACTCAAAATAATCTAGTTAGTGCATATATCAGCAGAGGAAATCAGTCTTGTCTTCCCTTTATGTAGCAGATCAAAGATAAATCACCTTCTTATCTGAGCTCAGAGAATCTTGGAGTTCTACAGTTTTSACAGCACAC